GGTGCCTTCCACCCCACCTCCTTCCCCCCCTCCCAGACTGCGTTGCGGCTGTGAAATTCGAATCGTGCCATTTCTACACATTTCGCACGGCTTTTTGTCGGAGTTTGCTTTCAATCTGCGCGCTGCGCTTTTCATTTTCAATTTCTTTGGAAATTTATTTCATGCAGAAAAGCAAATTTCATAACTTGAACGAGCCCCCTACACCCCTCCCCCTACCCCACCACACCATGCACCCATGCCTATCCTCTGACAATACTATTTGTGCCTGCTCCTGTTCCATCTTTTTCGTTTTTATGTGTTTATGCTCTGCCTCGAGCTGGTTTACATTTTATGCAGCGCAAACTTCTTCTTGTAAATATTTTTGTATGGTGTCCCGCCTGGCGGCTAGTAGTCGCCCTCTCCCCCTCCTCCTCCTCCTCCACCGACCTCTGCTCGCTGCTCTCTGCTTGATTTTGATCCGATTTATGTTATATATATGTGCACACACGCAGCTACAAACATTGATTTGTGCCCCAGTGGCCCCCGAGGCTGAAGTATATATGTATGTATGTGTATATGTGCTGCTGGCATTGTTTGCCTCGTGGCGGCTGTGGGAAATGGCCCCGTAAACGTTTAATAAAATATGATTTCAATTGATTCACAAGTCGCATTTCGAATCGAAATGTGCGATATGCTCGCATTATTCGCTGCCATTGACAGAGCTCCTACTCCAGCTAGAGCGCCTCCTCCCAGCTCCCTGCTCCCTTGCTCTGTTACTCTGTCCAGGCTCATCCTTTGACGGGGCAATCAATAAAGTAAAGTGCTTGGACGGGCTGCTGAGCTGGGCTGAGCTGAGCTGACTCGATCTCTAGGGGTTACGTGTCCATTCAAGGCTCATTGCCGTCCCCTAGATCCCTAGCCTCCCCTCAGCCCCCGCCCCAGCTTCCTGTCTGTCTTGTCTTGTCTTGTTGGGCCACACAGTTATCCGCTTAGATCACTCAACTAAAAAACTCAATTTGCATATTAATATTATTTGGGTTTTTGGGCTCCGTTTTTGCTGTTGTGCCATGCCACTTCAGTTCACTACACTTCAGCCACGCCCCCTTGCTTGCCTGACCTTTTATCAAATGGCAACAACAAGTACAACAACAACAACAACTGAGACTAAGCAACAGTAGTTGAATTGAATTTGCTGTGCTTCAACGCCTTTTTGTTCTTTGATATGCAATGTCTTTGTCTGTCTGTCTGTGTGTCTGTTTGTGTGTCTGTTTATGTGTGTGTATGTATGCGTGTGTTTATGCCACATATATGTAGTTTGAGGCACTTGTAAGCACAGCGTTCAATATTATATGCCGCATCTGCCAAAATAATCGCAGGTAAGCCAAAGTATTTTAGGCTTTACACAACTGAAAACAGAAAGAAAACAAGGGAGGGAGAGAGGCTGAGAAAGAGATAGAGTGATAGATAGTGGGAGTGGGTAAGAGAGGGAAAGAGACTGTTCATTGCAATTCCTCAAGCGAGTATATCAAGGACATCTACATACTATCTATAGCATTGCATTAATATTACAGATTATTTTACATAAAACCAATATACCCTTTTCCACATTCATTATGAGCATTAACTTTTATATCAATATTTTATACTGTTAAAGACTCCATAAATATAACAAAAATTTATATATGTATGTGAATATTTCTATATAAATAAAAGCATAAACCAATATGCCCTATTGACCTCTTTTCTAGCGAGTATATTGAATGCAACGCTTAGCTTTGGTCACTTTTGCGTGGTATTTATGGCATTTGCGAGTCTATTGCAACGTGCAAAAATTTGGAGTATCAGGTTGCAGTTGCAAGAGACACTCTATATATGCATATATGGATAATATTGAATGGCTGTATGATTTATGAAATTGACATTGCAGCTGGCAGTGGCGCATCAATGTGAGTCGATGCCACACGCAGAGTTCTGCACATTAAAACGAATGAAATTTGTTGCTGCGCTGACAGCTGCAAATGCAAAAGACGTTTGCAGCAACAGCAGCAGCCACATCTACATCGATATGCATACATAGACTAGATATAAGCCCCTCCACAGAGATATGATGGAGTATGACACCAGTGAGAAAGAGGGAGAGAGAGAGGGAGAGCGAGTCGGGTTGGGTGGCTGTTTTATGATACACTTATGACTGCTGCACAATGGAATGGATAAATCGGCATATACATAAAATGTCGTTACAAATATTTTATAACAGGAAATCCGTTATTTATACGCACATTGTGAACGCTTCTACTTCTTCGTCTCCCCCTTTTTCTGCTGTTGCTGCTGAACTGGCGAGGGGAGGGGAAGCTGGCTGCTCGCTCGTCTCTTTGGCAAATATGAATAAATGTTGTTTGCATTTTGCCTGTCGCCAGACTCTTTGCCTCCTTGCCACGCCCACCGACCAAACCGTACGCCCGCACGCCCGCCCGCCCAGCCGCCGCCGCCGCCGCCACCGCCGTCAGTGGCACAATCCTTATGAATCGACTACAATTTTATTTATTATTACTCGCTCAGCTCGGCATTTCGTTCGCTCTCGTATTTCTATGGCATGCGACTTGTTTTCGAGCGTTCCCAAGGCAATTCCATTATGGCCAACAATCCGCCAGCAAATTGCAAGGCTCAATTGATATTGGCTCGCACCAGGCAACAGCAGAAATGCCAGCAAAGCAACAACAATGATCGAGCTTTAAATGATTTGCAGCGAGCAACCTAATTGGCCGGCACCCGAGGCGCCCGTTGTCTATCCTCTGCTCCTCTTTAAACGTGGCTAACAAACTTGTTAGCCGTGTTGATGGAAATTATGTGGCTGCTGTTAAAGGTTGCTCTGAGAGAGGCTTTAAAATCTACGTGATACCAAAAATTGTCAAGAATTAACACGAGCTACAAGCGGGGCTCGGCTCAGTTGCGAGAAATTATAATGAGATATCCTGTAATATTTGCCTAATGGAGCACTTGGAATGAGCCGACTTGGCAGGTGCGGCTGGTTGGGAAAGACGTTATACTGATTGAGTGACTGATTGGTTTTGACTGTGGGGCGTTGATTGATTCATAGAGTCTGACTGACTGAACTGGTTGACGCATCTGTCACTGCCTGTAACTGATTCCGTCAGATTGATTCGCTAACTTCTCCTCAGACAGCTGAGGAGCTCTGATTGACAGATCTCCATTGAGTAAGACGGATTGATTGACTATAAGACTTCGATTGACTGAAATATTGGCTCCGATTGACAATCAGTCAAGTCAGACTAATATTTGAAGACTGACATTCGATTGACTAACTGATTGACAGCTTGACGATTCTCTGACTATTACAAATTTTGACTTGAACTTGATGAATGACTCTGATTGATTGACTCTATCTGATAGATTTGTTGATTGATTAAATTTAGACTCTGATTGAGTGTCTGTAAAGGACTGATCCTCACTGATTGACCCTGACTGACTGACTGATAGACTGTTTATGACTGATTGACAGACTATGGCTAACTGATTTCGACTGACTGATTGACGGATTCACTGAGCCTGACTGATAATGAATGAACAGTGTGCCTGATTGATGTGATTTTGCCTGATTAAATCAGTGATTGACTGTCAAATTCTTAAATTGATTATCTTTATAATGATCCAACTGATTGACTGAGCTAAAAGCTTCCGTTTCTCAATGGAATAAACTAAAATATCTTGAACTGGTATTTCGGCACTTCTTCAAGTATTTTAAAGCCCCTTGGCTAAGTCTTAGGTTGCTCGAAATGCACAGCAGCTGTAACAATATCGATTTAATCTGTAGCTTGCCTTATTTCAATTAGATTACTCTACCCCTTCAATATACCACATTAACCGCAACACTTTACAGGGTATCAACAGCAAGGAAAACCTAATTAAAAAGTTGCCCAAATTTGCGAGCTAAACAATTTTGTTGCCTGTTTGTTATTGTTGTTGTGGTTAACAGACGCGACGCCCTTCCATAGCACAACCACGCCCACTCCCATGCACGCCTTTTGTTGCCGTATCCAGTGAGCACCACACTTTATTGACTTGCTTGTTTTATGCTTTGGGAAATGGCATCGCCAACACCAACCGATATATATCCACATCCCGTAACTGGGAGACGCATTTGTACCTGTCGTAGCCCCTCTGCAGTAGCTCCTGCTCCAGCTGCTCCTCAACATGGAGCATCTGGCGCACGTTCTGACGCAGCTGCTCCGCTGAGCGTTCGTACAGTTTGCGTGCATCGGAGCGAAACAGCTGAATGGCCAGCAACAGCTCCGAGTGCCTGCGCTGCAGCTCATCGGCGCCGTAGAGGAATTTATGATGGGCAGCCAGCAGACGCATCACAATGAACCGGCGATAGCGACGCTTCAGCTGGCCAATCGACTGCTCCAGTGCAGGGCGAGTCTGTGTATAGCTGAGCAGTGTCAAAATCACGATGATTATCAGCTTGCAGCTGGCAATGAGCAGCAAGAGGGCCATGGGCTTATCCTCCACCAGATCCAGCTGTTCCTGCCAACAGTACAGATCGCAGCCATAGACTCCGTGACTGTAGTCAAGAATGCCAACCAGAGACACGCAGATCAGGCAGCTGACACCCAATGCATTGTAGTGGACGCGCAGCAGATCCCTTATCTGTTGCACGATCCCGAGCATGTTTACAATTTAGGAGGAGGCGGCTATCAATCGGTGTGAGGAATTATAATTTTGACTGAAAATGCTTTAGCTGCTTACATGGACGAAATAGAGAACTAGGATTGATTGAATGGAATTTAGAATTACTATACTATAGGGTGATGGACTGTATGATTTGGAATTTCAAATTGTTGAATGTTTGATGACCAATAAGCACCTCCTAGGAAATGATTGAAATATATCAAAAATATTTGAGTAAAATTTTAATGATCTTATTTGATCAACTCTAAAATCTATCCCGAATTTTGTAGATGTTATTCCTGAGAAATTTCAGAAGCTGTGGTAAATTTTTATTCAACATTATTTACAAATCAGTTTTATTGACTAAAAATGAAGATCATCGCGAGCAAGCGCTGCGCGTACCGCGGGCAGCAAAGGATTATAGCGACGCATGGCAGGCGGTGGCGGATTATTACGCCGTAGCTCGGGCGGTGGGCCCTGGCGTCTCCAGTTCGCGAGCGGCGGAAAGTGTTGCGGTGGTGTGGAGTGCAGCGGCTTCTGCTGGTAGTAGTGCTTATGGATGGTGACTGGACGCAGATTAAGCTTGAGCTGCTCGGCGCGCTTGTTGGCCAGATAGCGTTGACGCTCGATGCTATCCACACTGGCCTTGACGCCAAAGACGAGGTGCAGGAACGGCTTCACCAGGACACTCAGCAGCAGGAAGCCCAAGAAGCCAAAGACGACGGGTGAGATCAGAGTGAAGAGGAAGACGCCCAGTGTGAAGGGATTGAGGACTGTGAAGAAGGCAACAAACTTGATGAACGGATACAGAACGTGTCCCACATGGCTGAACCACTCCTTCTTCTTCCTCTTGAACAGGGTGTTGTGGCGCAGCAGATATTTGATTTTGCTAAAGGGCGCCTTAGTGGTCGATGGACGTTTGGTGGTCACCACCTGCAGAATTGTGGTTGCCGCCACTGGCGGCTGTGGCTGCTGGCCATGTGGATCCCATGTGGTGCCGTGGTAGTGCGAGTGGTACGGCTGCTTGGTGGGATTGGCATAGACGAGGTGAGCCGGCTGTCCCAGTGGCGGATGTTCGTATTCGGGTTTCTGCTGTCGACGTCTCTTCTTCTTCTTCTTTTTCTTCTTCTCCTTTTTATTCTTCTTCTTCTTCCTCTTCTTGCGTTTCTTCTTGCGCTTCTTTTTGCCACGACGACGTTTGCGCTTGCGGCGACGGCGAATTCGTTTGCGACGACGCCGAATTCGCTTACGTTTTCGCTTTTGACTGTCCTTGGCCCGGGATGACTCCGCCGGCACCTTGGCGTCGCTCTTGTGCTGCTCCAGCGGCTCAGCTGTCGCTGGCTGCACAACCTCAAAGGTGCTGGCCTGCTCCACATGCTGCTCGTGCTTCTCCTGCTCCTGCAGATCCTTATCCAGCTGCTCGAACACATTGAATGGCTCCACTGTGCTGGTCTTGTTGAGCTGCTTCTCCTGCTCCAATTGCAGTTGCTGCAATATGCTAAAGCTGCTGTTCGGCCGCTTCTGCTGCAAGAGCTTCAGCTGCTCCAGCGTCAACTGCTCCAGCACACTAAATGGCTTCTTTGTGGTGCTGTGCTTGAGCTGCTCCTCCAAGTCATGCTGCAGCTGCTGCAGCACGTGAAAGGGCTGTGGAGTCGTGGCTATTGGCTGACGCTCGGGTATCCACAACAGCTGCGTTTGTGGCCGGCGCAGGCCACGCCCCTGACGCAACGGAGCTTGCTGCTTCTCCTTCTCCTGCTGCTGCTGCTGCTGCTCCTGCTTCTGCTCAATTGTTGGCTGCACCAGTTGCTCGTATAAAGTTTCATAGATTTTTGCAAAATTAAACTCATGCAGGGTATCTGCCAGACCAACGCTGCCATTGTGGGCGACCTTTGCTGGCTGCTCCTGCTGTTGTTGCTGCTTCTGCTCCTGCTGCTGTTTGCCGTTAAACTCAAACTTTGCTAATCCATCACGCCTGCCGATCTCTGGCTGGGTGCGTGCCCCATCGCTGCTTTGTAAAATCAACAAATAGTATATAAGAAAGTTGTGCAACACTTTCGGCATGTCGTCCTTTCATTTTTCGACCCAACAGCGGCGCCAGGACGTGGCACGAACGAATATTTTCTTGTACTCAGTTTTATGTTTGATTTAATTTCCAACTTTTGCGCTCGACTTGCGAACTTCAACTGACATTTCGCTTTGGCCACTGGCCACATTAACAGCTCGGTTCGCCCAGCTAGCCCTGTTGAGTCAGTGGAGTCCATTCGTCAGTCCGTCAGTCCCCCAGTCAGTCAGTCAGTCAGTCAATCAGTCAGCCTTTTGGCTACTTGTTGAGCTTGTTGGTTAAACATTTCATTTCATTTCATTTCATTTTACTTGCTCTTGATTTCTAGCTTGTTCTTTATATATAATTCTTACTTTTCGCCTCGTTTTCAGTTTTCTTGTTTTCGTTTTCAGTTTTCTTCTGCCTCGCAGTTCTCTTATAAAAGTAAAATTTATTGCCGCTTAGTACATCATCAACGGCTTCTGTTATGACAAATTTACGTACTTGGTGCATTTAACAACTTGTGTAGCACTTAATTATGTTTTGAGCACACGAAGTTGCTGTCTAACTTGTTTGCAACAGCAACAACAACAACAACAACAACAGCAGCAGCAGCAAGAACAAGAACTTACAACATTTTGGACGCAAAGCGAAAGCGAATTTTGTTCGCTCCGAGGGCGCCATGCAAAAAAGTCTTTGGAAAGTGCTTAGCGGGCAATTGAAGTTGCAGTTGGCTGCCGACGAGGTCAGCAGAATTTTCAGATTAGTTCGAGTAACTCGACTCCTCACGCCCCCAGCCCATTGCCCAACCCTTTGCCACACACACACATACATAAGCATAAAAGGTTTTAGTTTTCAGCTCTGTTTGAGTTCGAGCATGCAAAAGTTCTTATCCAGCCGCTCAATAAATCAAGAGATTAGTAGTCGAGTGCTATAAATATGCCAAGAATTAAAATGTTTAATTGTCGCTGTCAATTTCTTAAAAGCTATTTAAACAATATTTCAACGAGCTCTGGCTGCTTCTCTTGATTATTTCAAATATATTCTAATGTTATTTGAGTCGTAAATTTCAATTTCTTTATAGAAAAAAACAACTTCAAAGAAAACCCGTCACATGCGCACATTATACACATTTTTTTTTTTTTTTTTTTTTTTTTTTTTTTGTCAAGTAAAATTTATAACACATAACGTAAAATGTCTGAGAGCTCGTTAAATATATACGTCGAGCCAGAAGCCTGAGGTATTTATGTGCTTTATTTCGAATAAAAGGTGCTTCAGGTGTGAACAAATCGCGCTTAGAGTTCTTCAATTTGGTATTACAAGGAATTTGAGCCTAATTATAAATTGTGACGAAAATTCTCTTAGCTGAATTTTATAAATATTTTTTTGTTATAATTTTATAACAATTTAATTTGTATACGAGTTGATCAATATTTATTGGTATTAAAAAAAAAGTAAATTAACTAATTTACTATTTTTTTTTATTTAAAAATTTTAAAAATTTACTATCAAGTTTAATTTTGTCTTTTTTAATTTATTCATTTTTTTTTATAAACTTGCAAAACTTGTTTGCAATAGTATTACTATTATATTATTACTACCAAAACTCTAAAAACTCTAACCTATATAGAAAACACCAGAACTTACTGAACTGACCTCGTGTGTAATGAAGTTAGCCAATAAAAATCTCATAAAATCGTTCTGTATCGTCATAAACCATAAATTTTATTCTACTTTACAAAAGCAAAAAAATATATATACATATATACTCATATATGTATATTTACTCAACGATTAACCTCTATAATTCCATGCCCAATAATAACCGAAATCGAATCTAAACACTTGTCCGAAGTTAATTGTCAGACCTGGTTCATTGGGCTCTATGCGTGGGATGTTTTCAATTGTTCTCGGTTAATAGCGCTGCGAGACCATGTGATCTGTAATCAATGGCATTTTGAGCAGCCATTATCGATTATCGCTTATGGCAAACTTTTATTAGACACTTTGCTGAATTACACATTTTACGAGATATTGTTAAGAGAAGGGGAGTGAGATAGAGAGAGAAAGCGAGAGAGAGAGAGAGAGAGGGAGGCACTGGCAGCGGCAGAGTCATAGTCAGCGTCGCCTCTTAATAGCTGTAAAAATGCAGGAATGTGGCAAATGGTTCAGGTGTTGGAGCACGGACAGGTGTTGATAACAATGGCGGCCCATCAAAGTGATTGACTGCTCTACAGTGCCCTCTCCCAGTTCGCCTCCCTCTCTGTCTCTCTCTCTCTGTCTTTATTGCTCAAAGGCAGATGCTGTGGCTTCTGTGTGGCTCCATCACTTGTTTGGCGCTCGCTTGCTCTCCCCCTCCGTTTTCGCCCTCTATATTGCCAATTAGGCGTGGCATGCAATTTGAACAATTTGAGCAATTTTCAGCACGTTGGGGCACCCGATCGGGCACTGATTGACATATTGTTTGAGTTAGTTATTGCCGTCAGACGCATCAAATGACGATTGTTGCCATGACAGTGCATGCCACTCACATACTCTATTGCTAATTTGATTGCAACCTCACACACACACGCACACATACATACACATAATATGAACATAATAGCAACGCTGACAATTTCAATATCAAATTGAAATACTAAACTAGAGGCTAAGCAAGCGCTGCAGCTCGTGTCGAGCAGTTGGTTGCCTTTCCTTCTGCTCTCCCATCAAATATCAAGCAAGCACACATACATACATACATACATATATATAGAGAATTATAGACATACATACAAACATTCCTAACGAGTCCAAGATGTTTGCCAATTTGTTGCGCTTGTATCAGCTGCCGCGCCTGGTGCTGCAGGCGCCGCCAATCCGCGCTTTGAGCACCTCGGAGCCGCGTTTTAAGCTGGACGCGTGCAACCTGTATGAGAAGCTGAAGTTCGAGTTCGACGAGGAGAACAAGAAGCGGGCTGAGTTTTTGATATCCACCTATCCGGAGCCGGAGCGGCGCGGAGCTTTGCTGCCCCTGCTCGACCTGGCGCAGCGGCAGCATGGTTGGCTGCCCATCACAGCGATTCAGGCCGTGGCCGAGATGCTCAAGCTGGAACCGTTTGTGGTGTGGGAGGTGGCCAATTTCTACACCATGTTCAATCTGCGTCCCATTGGCATGTTCAGGCTGAAGGTGTGCATGACCACGCCCTGTCGGCTGCGTGGCTGCGACGAGATATGGCGCACCTGTGAGAACGTATTGAAATTGAAGGATGGCGAGACATCGAAGGACATGCAGTTCACCTTAACCGCCACCTACTGCATGGGCGCCTGCGTCAATGGGCCTGTAATAGCTGTCAACGATGATCTCTACGAGGATCTGGATGTGCCGGAGACAGAGAAACTGCTCTCCGAATTGAAATCTGGCATAATGCCGCCAGCAGGACCGCGCCGAGATCGTTTCGCCTCTGAGCCAAGATCCGGTCTGACTAGCTTGTTAACTGAGCCACCGTCCGCGGGCTTTGGCATGCAGGAGCTGAGTCCCAAGGCGAAGCCATGCTAAGAATGTTTCGTTCACTGATTTTCGTTCGGTTAAGGCAATAAATTTGCATTTATTATGACCAACAGCAGCAGCAATGGCATAATATTAAAGTGCTAGTATTTTCTTGAAAGCTCCTGCTGCCAACAGCTGTTGCTGTGCAGCTAACCTCGTCCTTATTGCATAGCCGTATCTCTCTGTGTGTGTGTGTGTGTGTGTGTGTCTGACTGAGTGTATCCCTCCTACTGGCGAAAGGACATGCTTTGCAATTTCACAACGCTCGCAAAATAAACAACAAACGGCAAATGGCAGCCATGCCAGCGAATCAAGCGCGAAACAGCGCCCAAGTCCAAGTCCTGGCCTTCCGCCTGCCATGTCCTGTCAGCCAATGCAGCAAGTAATCAGCTTTTGCCTTGTCTTCCCTGCCGCTCTGTCTGCCTGTCCGCCTGTCCGCCCGCCAGCCCCAGCTGCCGTTGCATGCTGTGGTTTGACCTCGGGGCACAAAACCCCGTTGGCGCTCTAATGAAATGTTGGCAGCCATCAACATGCAGCAGCAGCTTTGCCAACAACAACTGCAACTACGATAGCGATAGCAACAGCTTCGATATTGTTTTACCCAAAATAGTTTTAATTGCTGCACGCCCCCTAAAGCGGCTAACAACTTTTGGAGCATACCTCGTGAAGCGTATGCACATCAAGGTTTATTGAATTTTGCCAACACAATGCATTTATTGTCGCATAAATATGCAATGAAATTAATTAAATCTGCCATCGAACGAAATTAAGAATACCTTAGCTTTTTTAGGTCTGGCAACGCTGCGATCGGTTTGAAGTTGGCTGGGCAGCCGCAACAAGTGCTTGGAAGAAGAAGAAGAGACGGTTGTGCGGGAAAAGTTAATTAGTCAAATTGCACATGATTATTTTGTACTGAAAAAAAAAAAGAAAATAGTACAAATATTACAATTTTTTAAAATAGTTTTGTTGTTGTTTACTATTAAGAGTTTGTGTTATATGCGCGTAAATGAAACGCCCAATACATGTCTAATTGGGAGTCAAGCCAATAAGAATTTAATGTTTCAAGTAGACCGAGCACGCGATAAAATTAAGAAATGGCTGCGCTGCCGCAAGAAATGTACAAGCAAAAAAAGAATTAAGTTGCTTAAACTCGTATTGAAAAATTAAATAAAAACGATGTCATATATAGTGAATAGGAAAAAAAGGAAGCAGAAATTCACTATTTATTGTTCGAGCAACGCAAATGCAATTAAGGCTGCCATAAATCCAATTGTGTATGTAAATAAATATTAGGGCGACCTCAACTTTTATTATAATGTGGCAGCGTTGCGATCAGCATGAAGTTGGCTGCGCTACAGCCACAAGTTCGCGCACTTGTAAAATAAATACGAGGGAAATTTTTTTATTTATTTTTTAAGTGATAAGAGTGCCAAAAACCACAGTTTAAATTGAATAGTAAGGGCATGCTTGGTAGCTCACATGCTATTGCAGGGTAACTGACAGTTGGCTACAAATTGTTTCAAATTGTTTTTATTGCATTTTGTTGTTTGCTGTTTGACAAACTACTCGAACAATGCGGATTTACAGTTTTAATAAATCTGTTTGTCACTTTTGTTTGCCGCTTCAATGGCCATCAGCAGCAGCAACAGCAACAACAGTGCACGCCCATCGCCCAAAAGCCCGCCCACCGTTTTGGGGGCCGCATT